CGGTGGCTGATTCCAGGAAGCTGGGGGCAGAGCAACTCTTCCTCGGGCTTCCTGTAGTCAGCCCCTGGTTAGTTTCAGCAGCAGCAGCTGAATCTGGAGCCAGTTCCGAGTTACGTACAAATTCAACTTAAGAACAAACCTATAGTCCCTATCTTGTACGTAACCCGGGGACTGCCTGTACATTAATGGCATAAATTTCTGTGTTCTTTCATATGTCTGGGGTTAAAAACAACATAGTTTCACCGCTGAAGCATGACAAAAGATTTTAGCAAAAATAACAGCTACCTGACTGCACTCCATGCTCACAATTTATTCAAATTCAGATCAAACTGGATTCATTAAGATTAGAGAAATGTCAGACAATATAAAGCAGGGGTCTCCAACGAAAGCTCATGCTCCAATAAATCTGTGAATCTATAAGGTGCCACAGGACTCCTTGTCGCTTTTGCAGATCCAGACTAACACGGCTACCCCTCCGATACAGTAAAAGTGTGGCTAGCCGGCACTCTGCTAACTGGAAAACTCTATTACCCAGCATTGCCCTTAGCCAGTTAATAAAGCTTGAATTCTTCTCCTGGAGAGAAGGTTTGTGCCAGCCCCATTCCTGGGGAAGAAGATGCTTTCTTCTCAGGAGAAGGGCCAGGAAGAGCTGCTTTGTAACCACTATTGCCCCAGAAGGCTGGCTAACAAAGCTTTCACTGTAATTAACAGCACGCAACTTGTATTTTGTTATCAGTAGGGTTCTCTCCCCACCACAGCAGCCACAGAGCTGAGGCTGAGAAGGAGAGCTCTCTCTCCCCACCACCAGCAGCCCTGCAGCTGGAGGAAGTTGCCTCTTTCTCTGGCTGCTGCAGCCCTGCACATCCCAAATTCTTCCCAACCCCACTGCCTTCCTCCTATTTCCCTAATCTCACCCCACTTCCCCTTCCATGGCCCCTTCCCTCACTGACCCCACCCCCAAGTCCACCACTTCACCTTCCAAACAAGTGAGGTACAAGGTCCAGGTCAATGTCCCCTCTAATCTTTCCCATCCATGTGCATCTTTTTCCATCCATGTGCAGAATAAAGGTTTGGCACATGCCTCAGTGCACATCATGTGCACCACCAGTAGAAATATAAAACCCAGCTGTAGGTGCTCTGCTAATCAGATGGACAGCATTTGAATCTCTCCTGGGCAGAGCTATTTTCGAAGAGTTGGTGGCTTGTAGCATCTCGGTGAACTCATTCTGGGTTTGAGGAACTTCCTCAAGAGTAATCTAGAGCTCATTGGCTATTGCGTTAAATAAGTTGTGGAAGTGGCTGAACTCGTCGGTAGGTGTATGTCGTTGGAGCATCGTAGCCTCCTGGAGTGGTACAGATGAGTGTTTAGCCATAGGGGAGGTGTTGGGAGAAACATTCTATGCATGGGGATCAATCGACTTGGCTTTCGGCTCAGAATCAGTGTGAGAAATTTGAGGGGGAGATCTATCATCTTCTCTCCAGGAAGCACCACAAATGCCTGTCTCTTATAGTAATCCCATGGACCCTAGTGTGGCCATTGGCCAAGAACAGGCATGGCTAGTCCCAGCCAAAGGTGACCATACCAGAGTGGATATTTGCTGGGATGAGCAGATCATGTTCTAATACATTTCCCATTTGCAGGCATATGAACCTGGGAAGAATATTGTGGAGAAAAGACTCCTTTGACAGGCAATTAAGTCTCCATGATGGTGAAACTGAGGCAGTGCAGCACCAGCTCATGCTGAGTAATGGGACATGAGAGATGAAAAGTATGTAGGTGTTCCCTATGAGATGAAAATGGGCAAAATCTGTGTCAGCATGTTCTGAGTCAGCAGATGTGCCGGAGCTAAGGACTGCACCGTGGGTGCGCCTTGTACAGGGGCAGGTGCCATAGACAGAGACATTGTTGGGCATGCAGGAGGCATTAGAAGAAACGGTGCAGAGGGCAGCGGCAGATGTAAAAGTGGTGCTAGTAGTTGCAAGTGGCAGTATTATGTCATCTGCTTGCGTCAGCACCCTAGTACCTGTTAGTACTGGGCTACTGTCAGTGACCAAGAGATGGGAACTGACAGCCTTGAGCCTTAGTTCTGGATGCAGGAGCAGCCAACTCATGGCTGGTGCCAGAGGTGCCTGCTGAGCCATATGTCCCTCCTGAAACTCCCTGCTGAAAGTGGGGCAGAAACCAGAATGAGCAGGTGACTTATTCCTCCTGAAGGGACCAGCTATATTGGGACATCCCCTTCAAAGCCTGATGATGACGAAGCTTCTTCTTGAGACAAAGGCAATGCAATACCAGTTGGCATCAGAGAATGCAGCTCACACTCAGATGGAGCCAGGGATTTCTTCTGTGGCTTTTCTCTAGATCCAGATTTCCTATTTATGGGTCAGGACCCAACTATGGGTTGCCATTACATTTCAAAAGGGTCGCCAGGTGGCTTTTAAGGAGCCATTTATGCATTTTTTGAATTGCTCTGGGTCACCAGTCTTCCTGAATTGTCAAAATGGGTCCCCATCTGGAAAAGGTTGGGAACTGCTGGTCTAGATAGAGCTGGCCTCACTGATGCCCCCAATGGCTGCATCTAGTGGAGTTGGTAAGTGAAAAGTTGAAGGCATAGGACGAAGTACCTTGGCACTGGTGCTGGGTAAGCCTCTTGACTGGTGACATCAACACCAAGAGGTTCCAACAGCTCCAATGCCTCAAATGCCTCAGAAGCTGACAGTATGCAGCACCAAGGTATAAGGTGCCAGTGCTCTGGGAGCCAATGCTCATGAGATGTAGGTGCTCTGGGAGTCAGTCTATACAAGCTCCTAGGACTCTGGAATCAGTGAACTCGCCTGTTTATAGGGGAGCGTCGAGGACTGCTTCCTCTTCGCATGCCCTCTTACCTCGTTAGCAGGGTTCAGTCACTTTGATTCCTTCAATAAGCCCAATTTCTGATGTTTATTCTTTGGCACAAGTCCCACTGATCTGTCTCTTGATACCAGAAGAGCTGGAGGTGTGTTGACCAATGCTGAAATGTTTTAGTACCTCGAACAACAGTGAGGGCTCAGATGGAGGCCATACAGTGATATCTCTAGGAGCAGGTATTTCAATCTGGCTGCACTGGCTATCTTCAAACGGGGCTTAAAGCTTTGACCACAACTATCACTCATGTGAGTCTCCCTTAAGGCAGCAAGGGTGAGGGGCACCATCTGGCATAACTTGAAACCTAGAAAGCACAGCATACCCCACCAAAATAGAAAAAAGAAAAACTTGTTAACATTTACAAACTAACTTTACATGGTATTATGATAGGTATTGAGAAAGACTTGAAGGTGCAAGGACAGGGAGCTCCGACAGCTATCACAGGTGATAGTAAGGAACTGAGGGGAGTATGGGACAGCTTATCCCTTTATGCCTGCATGATGTATGCAAGACAGCAGAGGGTGCTGATACTACCCTGAAGGATTCTGCTAAACTATAAACTTTCTAGTTGTGCACTGGAGTGCACAGACATTTGCAATCATTCTCAGAAAAAATTATTTAAAAGATACCATTTCAGTAATTCCTCACATCAGTTTAAAGAACAGAGAGAGCGCACAAATAGGATAAGCATTGGAGAAATTGTGAAAGAAGATTTTATGCAGGTATTGTCCGGTCATTAGGGAATACTGGGATGCAATCTGTAGCCAAATATTACACAGTGTTGTAATGGCTCTTTAGTAATCCTCCTTCAGCTTCCTAACACATAGGAATGATTCAAAAAATATGGGAGGTTGTTATGGAAAAATTAATGCATCAATTATGTACTGAGAAAAATAGACAAAACAGATACTTTATTTGGTTACCTTTTATTTGGTACTCAGAAAGGATACTCACCTGCAAAAAAAAAAAACAAAAAAACAAAAAACAAAAAACACAACAACCCCATACCTGTCCGATTTTTTAAAATATTAACATCTGACAGAGGTACCTGGTGTATTCAGTATGTTTAATCTAATAAAATCAGTGCTCACCCTGGAATATGGTAATACCCTGTTAAATAGAGATTTGACAATTATTTTCCAAGTATAATATTCTCTTTAAATCTCAATTCACTATTGAAAACTTGTTCGTATTAAATAATACTAATAAATAGTAACAATTTTTTGTGCAAGCACACAC